CAGGCCCACCGGCCGGAACCTCAAGGTGCACCCTCCGGGCGACGCACAGAAAGGGCTGAGGATCTAGGGGGTTTTAAGGGCTTTGGAGGAGATGTGTCTAAACCAAAATGGTTTCCAAACTGTTGCACATCAGGTGTGGGCGCCAGGCATCTTCCTTCCTTCCTTCCTTCCTTCCTTCCTTCCTTCCTTCCTTCTCTCTCTCTCTCTCTCTCTCTCTCTCTATTTATTTATAATCCCCTGGTGATTCCACTTTGCAGTAAAGTTTGGAACCCGCTTGGCTAGAAGTGTTAGTAACTGGGTCTTCTGAGAAGGTTCAAGTTCATGGCAGGGGCAGAGGTGAACCGCATTTGGGGCCTATTGGACCCAGTTTCAGGGTAGTAATGTCTTATCAGTAGTATAGGTAGTAAGCAGCATCAGGAATCATGTGAATAGGATACTTCTATTTAAGAGAGATAATGGAGGCACCAGAAAGGGTTGATCAGCTTAACATGGACTGGTGTCTGTTTATGGGTTTCCTACCACTGGCTTCAGTGAGGCTGAATTGTTTAGGATTCTCTCTGCAATTGGCCTTTCAAAAGGTGCTCTCGTTCTTGTGAGGGCACCTCCTCATCCCCATCATCACAACTATATCCAGTGTTTTCTGAATCTCCTCACAGCTTTCTTTTCATTCCTGCCCACAGCATCCTAAGTTTACTGCCAGCTCCAAACATCAACTTATCCCATGGCCATCTGATCCTGAACATCAACACCAGGTAATTACTCACCCTAAAACAAAGCTGTCCTCACGTCCCTATACAGAGACCATGAGTCGCAGCTGACCACCCCAGAATAAAGTGCCTACGCTTTACTGAACCCTTGCAGCCTTTCACCCAGAACTTCAGCTCCAGGCTAACCTGACTTACAGAGCCCCTCTGATTCTACCCTCCGTCCTCGGAGAGAAATCACCAGGCCCTTCCAACCTGGATCCACAAAGCCTTCTCACAACTGCAGCCCATAGCAACCTTCCCAGCCCTGAACTCCTAGAGCAGTGGTTCTCAACCTTGGCTGCACATTGGAATCACCTGGGAATCTTTTTAAAATCCTGATTTCTGGGCCTCCTCCTCCGGAAATTCTGTTTCTTTGTTATGGGGTGGGGCCACAACATGAGTAACAAAGAAACAGAATTTCAGGAGGATGAGGCCCAGAAATCAGGATTTTAAAAAGATTCCCAGGTGATTCTAATGTGCAGCCAAGGTTGAGAACCACTGTCCTAGAGAGATATTCCTAGTACACCGCATAGACGTCTTGAGACATGAAAATTGAATCTCGAGTCTTGGCACCCCTCTCTGCCCTATTGTCTCTTACCAGGAACTAACAGAGCCCCTTGAAGGTGCTCAAGAGTTATTGAAGAATAAGTACAGTAATCAGAAAAAACCTTTGTCACCTGTTCCTTAAAGCTCGGGTCTGAAAACTACCTGCATTGCAGTCACCTGGGAAGCTGTTTTATAATGCAGACTCCTGGGCTCACGTCTAGACCTGGGCAAGGTCCCAACATGTTCCTTTTTGCCAGAGCCTCAGCTGATTCTTGGGCTTGCTGTGGTCTAAAAACTACTCTAAACAAAGGTTAAAGAGGGGTTTGAAGATGGTGATGGGGTAAGTGGATCCTTTTTTGCACCTCCTCCCAGAACCAAAACTGGAAATAAAACTAAATTGGGGAACATTCACCCTGAATTACCAATTGAAGACTACTTGAAGAGGAGACTTTTAACAAGGAAGAGCAGAAAACTCCTCAAGACTGGTAAGAAGGGTGGGGTTGCAAGAGCAGCCCAGACCCCAGGCTGGGCTCCCCAACCTGGAGCATGAGACCAGAGCTGATTACATCAGCCCACCTAGCCCTGAAAGCCAGCAGGGCTTCTATCCATCAGGGAGAGATGGAGCTTGCCAGATGCAAAGCCACTTTGAAAACAAAAACAAACAGAGCACAGGATTTTCGTTTGAAGCCACTCACTGAGGCTTAAGTAGAGGGAAGGCAATGAGGAGAGTCAGGGGTGGGAGACATTGCAGGGCCAGCTGGGATATTGGTGCTCAGTGATAAGTGCATGCCACACTCTCCCAACAGCAACAGCCTGGGGAAAGGCAATTACCCCACCCTCAGGGATGTAGCTTGACCCCTGTTGAGGAGGCAGCAGAAGAGGCCCAGCCTATGGGTCTGGCCAGTCTCAGAGGGCATCAGTGACTGGCTTTGAGGTCCAGCCATTTCCCCCACTTTCCCAGGAACCTGACTGGTGCTTCCTCCTCATGGGAGAGCTGATAGAAACAAGGAAACGGCCACCTTAAATGACACACTAGACCTGATGGATCTGACACTTACAGAACATTTCATCCCAAAGCTGCAGCATATACATCCTTCTCGAGTACACATGGGACATTATCAAAGATAGACCACATGGTTGGACACAAAGTAAGTTCACAAATTCAAGAAGATTTAAATCATATCAAGCATCTTCTCAGATCACAATGGCATGAAACTAGAAATCAACTACAAAGACATTCAAACACATGGAGGCTAAATAGCATTTTATCAAACAATGACTGGATTACCGATGAGATCAAGGAAGAAATTAAAACCTTCCTGGAAACAAATGAAAATGAACATACAACAATCCAAAATCTATGGGACACAGTGGAAGTAGTCCTGAGAGGGGAGCTCATAGCACTACAGGCCTACCTCAAGAAACAAGAAAAAGGCCCTACTTGGTTTGGCCCAGTGGATAGAGCGTCGGCCTGCAGATTCTCGTCAAAAGCAAGGGCACATACCTTGGTATCAGGCTCTTCCCTGGCCCAGGCCCTGGTCCAGGCTTGTGCAGGAGGCAACCAATTAATGTGTTTCTCTCCCATTGGTGTTTCTCTCTGTCTTTCTCTCTTTTAATCTCCCTAAAAATCTATGGAAAAACATCCTCAGGTGCGCATTAAAGAAAAAGCTCAAATAAACAATCTAACCTTACAACTAAAAGAATTAGTAAGAGAACAAGAAAAGCAGAAGGAAGGAAATAATAAAGATCAAATTGAAAGCAAATAACATAGAGACTAAATGACAATACAAAAGATCAACCAAACCAAGAGCTGGTTCTTCAAAAATATAAACAAGATTGATGAACTTTTAGCCAGACTTATCAAGAAACAAAGAGAAAGGACCTAAATAAATAAAACCAGAAATGAAAGAGGCAAAGCAACAAATGATATCACAGAAATACAAAGGATTGTAAGAATATACTATGCCAACAAATTGAACAATCTTGAAGAAATGGATAAATTCCTAGAAATTGAAAAAATTCCTAGAAACAAATAATCTTCCAAAACTCAATGAGAAAGAATCAGAAACTTGAATAGGCCAATAACAACTAATGAAATTGAAGCAGTAATCAAAAAATTCCCAGCAAACAAAAGTTCTGGACCAGATGGCTTCACAGGCAAGTTTTACCAAACATTTAAAGAACTAACACCTATCCTCCTCAAACTATTTCAAAAAATTTAAGATGAGAGAAGACTTCCAAGCTCTTTTTACAAGGCCAGCATTATTCCAAAATCAGAAAAAGACACTACAAATAAAGAAAATTTCAGGCCAATATCCTTGATGAATATAGATGCTAAAATCCTCAATAAAACATTAGCAATGTGTATATACATTAAGAAGATCATACACCATGACCAAGTGAGATTTATTTCAGGGATACAAGGCTGGTAAAATATTCACAGAACAATAAACATCATGTATCACATAAACAAAATGAAGGATAAAAATCGCATGTCTTATCAATAGATGTGGAAAAAGCATTTGACAAAATCCATTACCCATTTATGATAAAAACTCTCAGCAAAGTGGGAATAAAGGAATGATACCGCAACATAATAAATGCCATATATGACAACCAGCCAATATCATACTCAATGGGCAAAAACTAAAAGCATTTCCCTTAAAATCAGGAACAAGACAGATATTTCTGCTTTTGCCACTCTTATTCAACACTAGAAGCCCAGTGTATGAAATTTGTGCACAGGGGCTGGGGGGGTCCCTCAGCCCAGCCTGCGTCCTCTTGCAATCCAGGACCCCTTAGGCCTAAACCGGCAGTAGGACATCCCTCTCGCAATCCAGGACACTGCATGCACCAGTGACCATACTTTTCATACAGGTGAAAGGTATCTAGCTGTTGTATGGGCAGCTACATTTTTTTTGCTCTGATTATAAAAAGTAGTACATAGGATGATCTTTCTGAGGCAATAGTACCATTTTCCCCATCTTATGGGTGGAAAAACTGAAGTAGAGAGAAGTTAAGTAATTGGCTTTGTCACACAGTTATAAGTGTCGGAATCAGGGCTGACCACAAAATGTGCAGGCCAGAGTCCATGCATGTCATCACTGCTTCATCCTGTTTTTTTCAGTGTTAGAGTAGGCTTGCCAGGTTTTAATTTTTAAATCTAAGGGACTGTTCCCAATATATAGAGCAGGGTCCCTAGGCCTGGCCAGCAATCAGGGCCATCTGTGGGGCGACCAGCGGGCAGGGTGGTTGGGGGGCCCCCCACTGGCACCCACCTTGGCTGGCGGCCTGGTGCCCCCCACTGGTCTGCCCCTCAATTGTTGCTGTCAGTCTCC